TGTGTGTGTGTGTGTGTGTGTGTGTGTGTGTGTGTGTGTGTGTGTGTGTGTACGCACGCATTTATTTACATTGAGTTGGGGAATATGAAGGAAAAAAATATTAAAAGGAGAAAAATAACAGTATTAAAATCACATTTTTCTATTAAATTTCAGAAAGTGTCCTTTCTAGTTTCACAGTTTTATTAACAACTTTTGTTAGTAAACCAAGTGACTGTACAGTCATCAAGTATGTTCTATTGCAACAGTGTATATAAATACAGTCTTCTCGGAGTTTACAATTCTTAAATACATTGTTCAACATGGCTGCTAGAATAAATTGTTTACTACTATACATCTTTTTTTAAACATTAAAAAATTATATTAACTCATCTGAACTCTGGGGGGCAATTTTGAATTAGGTAATCAAGTGGTACAATAAAAGAGTGACCCCAACATCCAGTTCTGATTCCAGTTAAAAATTCAGACTAAAGATATCACAATCTGTAAGAAAAGAAAGAACATGGATGATATAAATGATGAATTATAACAAAGAACAGTTATGAAAATAATGCTGGAGATCACAAATTAAAAATGGGGAAAGTACGGCAAAGGAAACCCTGGAAATCCATAAAAAATAGTATTTCAGTGACTGGCTACATATATGTTTCATTCTGCCCTAAATCTGGAAATCAACAAAAATCCCCTAATATCTCTTCACACATCATTTTATTTACATCAGCAGACTTGAGCAAACTTCTCAGTTGGCTCCCATGTTCTTTAATAAAAATTACATAAGCCAGAATATAATAAAAAGCTACATGAAACCACCAAATGGCAAGCTCTCCCGAGCGGCCCCTTCACCATGCAGACCCCGCCTCTGGGCCTCCTCTCCTTCCGCCAGTCCCTTGGTTTTGCAGCAGGCCCACCTCAGCAGCTGCCGCCACCATCCCCCTCTGCGTCCTGCCTGCAAGCCTGGCAGCAGGGTGGGATTCAAATCCCCCAGCTTCCACTTCCACCAAAGGCTAAAGCCTTTTCAGCTGAAAGAAGCAGTTCTAGAAATTTAACTGGAGTAATGACTACACGAGGCACGAAGCAGGAAGCAAAAGAGCACGGAGGGCTTGTACGAAGCTGTGGTCCTCGGTCCTATCTTCACTCACCCTGAAAACCAGGCTCTCCAGGATGAGTTACCTGGAACTTTCAGTTCTTAGGTAGGTAGATTTCTTACACTGCTATTTCTTATTTTATCAACTTTATATTGTTTAAATCCTGCTATGGCAAACGAGAACTGAGCTCGTGGAACCATTTTCCCTCCTCCCTTCTTGAGTACAAGTTCTATTTCTCCGTAATTTAAAATTAAATCTTTCCATGCTTTGTCTGCAGACATTCCAAAAGTTGAAAATCAATGTACTGTTTACATGACTATGTAAATATTTTTCTCTGTAGCACCTAATCTTTTGCTAGGAGGGCATTCTTAGTAACCTATACAACTTTTTGCCTTTCATGGAGTTTCTAATTGACTTTCATTCCCCCCTTACATTCTTAAGTTATCTAATGTATGAATCAATTTTTCCCCTCCAGACGCATCCCTCTTGGGAGTGCTCCATTCTCCTGCTCCAATTTGAACTGCCTGCTGCATGGGCCTGCTGTACAAATGTCACTCTGGGTCAGAGTCGTTCTCTTTGCTTTCTTGAAATTCAAGGTCTTTTGTTTTCTTGACTTGCTTCTTTATTTTGCTAGTGCACATCTTAAAATAACTTGCTAAGAAAGTATGCAAGGAAAAGAAGCCCTTTCTGATCCTTATATGACTTGAAAATGTACTTATGCTGCCTCTACGTTTGACTGGCTAGACACAGACTTCATGTTTCCTCAAACTTTTGGATTTATTCTTCCATAATCCTCTAGCATTCCATGTTGCTACAGAAAAGTCTGATACCAGTCTAATTCCTGTTAATTTATAAGTTGTTTTATCCTCTTTACAAGCTTTCAGAAGAGCTTCTTCCATCCTTAGCCTCTCTGGAGGTTTTACAGTGATGCATATGTGCGGTGGACCTTTTCCCACTTGTCCAGACTGGCTTAGACGTTTGTTTATCCACTCCACTCCACGACCCCGGCCCCGGCCCCAGTCCATCTCCCTATCCCACAGGAACAAGAGCTCCGTGGAGAGCGGGAACTTGGTTTGATCTGCTGCTATAGTCAATTCTGACACACAGCCGGGGCTCAATAACCATTTTTTGAATGAATAGTTTTGCTTGGATTTGAAGTTGTGTGCCTCTCACTGGTTTGGAAATATTTCTTATATTAAAGTAGTCTTTTGATAATTTCCTCTCCTCTGTCTTCTCTGTTCTTTCTTTCTGGAATTTCCATGAAATGAATACTGGATACTTTATAACATTTTTTTCTTTCCTATTTTTCATCCCCTTGTCGTTTTGCTCTTTCCACTGAGAGTTCCTTGATTTTAACTTTCAATGTGTGCAATAAGTTTAAAAAAATTTCCAGTTACTCTTTTTCTCAGATTGTTCTTTATTTCTAATATCCTGTTCACTATTTTGCAGATGCAGTATCTTCTAAAATTTCTCTCAGGACATGACTTAGAGGCTTGTTTTGTTTTTTTAAAGCTCTCTCTTGTTCTCTCTGGAATCTATTTTTCGGTTACACCTTGACCTTTTTCTCCTTTACACTGCAGGCTTTCCTTACCTATCCGTCCGTCCCTGTCTGTTCCCACTTATGAAAAGTAAGTTAACAGCCTAGATGGGTGCTTGGAGAACCCTGTATGTGTGTGTGTGGCTTACTGACTGGCAGGCTTTGCTTTAGATCAGAGTTTTCAGTCTCAACACAACTGACATTTTGGAGTTGGATAATTCTTTGCTTTAAGGCTATCCTACGCACTGTGGGACGTTTAGCACCATCTCTGGCCTCTACTGATTAGATGCCAGTACCACTAACCACCTCCAAGTGTGACAAACAGCAATGTCTCTAGGCATCGCTAAATATCCCTTATGGGGTGGGGGTGAGTAAATTATCCTGTTGAGAGCCCCAGCATTAGAATGAGGGAGCTGATCCTTCAGAGATCAGGGGATTTTCCTCTGGGTCCATTCTCTTCTGTCTACTGTAGTTCTCTGCAGACGGTTTATTCTCCTTCTTTGGAGAAGAACCCTGTGTTCTTCCAGTTCTTTGGGCATCCTACGCAGGCTGCACACTGGGGTTAAAGGAGGGTGTGACCAGCCCAGATTTAGATCTTCAGTTAACCGTTCTCTCCTCCTACTCTCTAGAGCCTTCGATTCTATTTCAGAGTCTCCGTGTTGGAGGCTGTCTGGGGTCCTACTGGTCGGCGGGAGCCCGCGAGGAGTCATCTGGCTGCGCGTGCCCGCCTTCACCGGTCAGCCGCCTTCCATCTGCTGTCCCTCACAATCTGCTGAAATCTCATCAGCTAACTAACTTCTACCATATTCCTTTCACCACTCTGAGTTTACCCCTCTTTATTCCTTTATTATTATTTTCCTGGGGACTCTGTCATATTAAGTAAGTCCTCTTCCATTTTAAGTTTTACAGCTAACGGGTTAACAGATAGGCAACGATAAAAATGGGAAAGTTTTAGAGATTCTGTGAAGTCTCTCGGTTGGTGGTCTACACAGCCTGCCTGCCCACCGGCTTTCCTTCCCTCCTTGCCTATAGTTTTTGGCTCCTTCGCTGAGAAGGTGATTGGATACTTCAGTTGTGCTTGTCCTTCACTTTTAGTTTACGCAAACTGACTCTGAAGTACAGTTCTTGATCTACCTTGTTACAGGAGAGGGAGAGAAAATACCATGAAGATTTTCCTCCGAGAAAAACGACTAGGTAGAGCACTGATTCTTATGCTTTGGTATGCAGAGTCCCGTGGGAGTTCATTAGGTAATACAGATGCCCAGACCCCAGCCCAGCCAAGATCTACCCAATCTGACTAGGGAGGATCAAGCTTGCGGGCTGGAGGATGGGGGATGGTGAACAATGAATCTCAGGGCTACAGAGCGGTGGCAGCTCTCAAAGAAAAGGGAAACAGGCTTCCGTTGAATGGAAGAAAGTCATGGGCTTGGGGAGGAGCAGGTGCGGAAGGTCAGAAACAGAAGGCGCGAAGGTCACAGTACCTGAATAGCATGCAAAGCTGCTCAATGTTTTTATGCTACGAGAGGTTCAAAGAAAAGGTCTGTGGACTTGGATTAAAGTTTAGTTTTGTCCACAGATAAAATCCATTAGAATAAAACAATTTATGATTTCAAAGATACAGCAAACGCAAATGAAAGAGAAAGCACTTAAATCCCCACTTGGTGGTCTTCCCCTTACTCTACCCTACAGAACAGTCTTTTTTTTTAAACATTATTTTGTTGAATTCTACCAGTCTTTGAGCATTTCACCTACTATATGCTGTGTTGAGTATTAGTCTCATAGTTTTAAAAAACTATTTTTTTGGCTGCGCGGCTTGCGGGATCTTAGTTGCCTGACCAGGGATCGAACCGCGGCCCCCTACAGTGAAAGCGTGGAGTCCTAACCGCTGGACCGCCAGGGAAGTCCCAGGACAGTCATTTTTATACTTCTGTAAACTCAGTGAGAGCAAGAACTCTTACTACTACTATCTTTGTATGTGCCCCATGGCATTTAAGAAAGCATCTTACATTCTGTAAGCATCTGATAAATGCTTTTTGAATTTTAAGAAGTGACTATAATTTTAAGCAGATCATAAACAAACCCAGCAATTTCTCGTTAGGAGCTGAATTAGTTCAGAGCGCTGAACACATCTGCTTACCTGCTGGCCTTGAATCCTTTCAATTTCTGTACAAAGAATGATTCAAGAACTTCTGCACACTGGTAAAAAGGAGAATCACTTGGATTGTAGTAACGACAATTATCAAAAATTTTGGTCATATCTGCTACAAATTCTGTCAGCTTTTCATAATATCTTCTTTGTACTCTTTCTTCCATGGTGGCGAGGTCTTAAAAACAAAATGTAAAAGATTTTCAAAGCTTTAAGGTTGTTCCAGTGTGGATACTGCCTGCAGTTCTGACAAATAAGAATACATAACATCTTGCCCAAGCAGTCCTGGAACCAGGCTGGTTTACCAGTGAAGACTACGTAGCAATTCTTGAAGAAAACAGCAGCACTTTTCCAATTTTGTTTTTGATTCGGGGTCTAAAAGATAAATCTTGGCTACCGTTAAGAAGGGTCTTTTACTCTCAATAAACTACAGAGAATAGCTCTTTATTCAACTGGTTTGAAACAAAGCAAACACTACACCAACATGAATACGTACCTAAGTATAACACATTTTCACATGCAAACAATTGATTAAATACCTTACATGTACAAAGAGAAGGAGTCCAGAATTAAGAATAAAATCTCTGTGGTTTTGTGATCCTTCTATTAGACTTTAATAATATACTTTTGTTTCCTTTTAAATTTTTATTGTTACCTTTTATTGGTGACAAGTGATACTGACTTACCGATTATGTTGGTAATGATATAAAGTGTCTACTTAAAATAAACTTAAGGGAAAAATATTAGCTGATATGAATAAAAATAGCAGTATGTAATAGTAGAGGTAGTGTGCAGAATTGGAAAAAATTACTAGGGTGGTACACAGGTAACTGCTGTGGAATACTGAGCTAAATCCACCCAAAGTAACAGTGGGTCCCAGGAGACAGTTGTGCTTGAAGGAAAATTCCATATACAACATGACATAAAAACCTGGGAGAGTAAAAGGTCAGTGATCTCAAATCAATCTAGGATTCATAGATAACACAATTCCTAACTAAATCTCAATAATTATTTTAGAATTTGAGAAAATAATTTTAAAGTACATTCAAAAAATAAAAGTGTAGGAATATCTAAGAAACATTTGAAAAATAAAAGTAAAGGGAGAAAATTTAATCTATGAGACATTAAAAAAAATTACAGGGACTTCCCTGGTGGCGTAGTGGTTAAGAATCCGCCTGCCAATGCAGGGGACATGGGTTCGAGCCCTGGTCCGGGAAGATCCCACAGCCTGCGGAGCAACGAAGCCCATGTGCCACAACTACTGAGCCTGCATGCCTAAAGCCCACAGGTCTGCAACAAGAGAAGCCACCGCAATGAGAAGCCCGCGCACCGCAATGAAGACCCAATGCAACCAAAAATAAATAAATAAAATAAATTTATATAAAAAAATTTATAAAGCTGTGATAACAAAACGTGTGGCATTGCACAACATGATACAAACATTAATGGAACTGAATTCAAAACAGGAACAGACATAACTGTATTCAGCGTAAGAATTTCACCTATGTTGAGGATGTCATTTCAAATAAGCAGAGACAGGAAGAATTCATTAATAAATTGGGTTGAGGCAACTGCCTACCTATATCTGAAGAAAAATTCTACCTCACACTATATGCCAAAGTAATCCGAGGTGAATTAAAATTTAAGGACAAAAATGAATGTAGTTAATCACTGAATTGTGCGTATAAAAGTAGTTAAAAATGGCAATTTTATGTTATACATATAATATTTTAACACACAAACACGTCTTTGATAGTTCCAGTTTACGCAGGTAGGGGAAAAACGTGTAAACAAGAACAACTGCAAAAACGTACCCAGCCTGATTAAATTCCGAACAAGACTTGGGCGCATCCATTCTGTGTAGGTCACATAAGCTGTACAGGTGGGCAGAAAGCTTAACACAGCCCGCCCGAATATCACCATATTCAGACTTAAGTTCTGGGCACTTCCTGACTAACTGTAATAAAGTATGTGAGTAGTGTTTGGACATTTAATGATTTCAACTTAATTAGTATCCCTTAAAAAAAAAAAAGTACTAGGAGAACATACACGTAAGTATTTATATATCTGGGGTAGGGAAAAAGGCTAAAAATACAACTCTAAAGGTAGAATTCATAATGATTAATAGATCTGAATTAAAAAAATGTTAAAAACTATCACATGACCAAAAAATTGCCATAAAACATTAAAATATCCTTAGTTTATAAATAACCCTTAAGTAACACTGACAACAGTATGAATATATCAAGAGCAAAATGGCAAAATACATAAATAGGGAACTCATGCAGAAGTACAAACAGTAATAAGCACATCACTAGTTACTGAAGACAGGCAAAGCCAAAGAGTCACTTCCTTTGCCCAAATTAGCAGAAATTAAAAATTAAATAACATCAGCCTATTAACAGGGGCTACCTCTAAAGGTGGATGAAAGTGGTGGTAAATTTTACATTTTACTCCCTATATCTCTGTAACATCTGCATTTATACATCAAACATATTCTTTCGAAATAAGTATTTACAAAGAAAACTTTTTCTCCTCGAAAGAATGATAATGCTCAGGGTTTTCAAGTGTGCAGAGAAAAGGGTACAGATATATGCTATCAGTGGAAACTGGTTCAATCTGCCGAAGTGCAACTTGAAAATACTTACCAAAAGCCTAAAAAGTATATACACCCTTTGGCACAGAAATTCTATTTCTAGAAATTTTTCCTAAGAAAACAAACAAGAACAGGGCAGATGCACAAGGATGTTCACAGAAGTGTCATTTATAGCAGCAAAAACTGCAGACAGCCAAAAAATCCATTATGGAGGGGTGATTAAATAAATTACCTTAACGTCATACAATTAAAAACGATGTAGGGGGGACGTCCCTGGTGGTGCAGTGGTTAAGAATCTGCCTGCCAATGCAGGGGACAGGGGTTCGAGCCCTGGTCCAGAAGACCCCACATGCCACTGAGCACCTACGCCCGTGTGCCACAACTACTGAGCCTGTGCTCTAGAGCCCATGAGCCACAACTACTGACCCCCATGCCACAACTACTGAAGCCCACGCGCCTAAAGCCCGTGCTCCGCAACGAGATGCCACCGCAATGAGAAGCCTGCACACCGCAACAAAGAGTAGCCCTGCTCACCGCAACTAGAGAAAGCCCACGCACAGCAATGAAGACCCAACGCAGCCAAAAGTAAAATAAATTTATAATCAATCAATCAATCACGTTAGTAACTTTCCAGACATTTGCTATGCATCTCTAAACACATGTACATACCCTTAGAAAACATACAACTGTTTACTGCTTAAAACCCAGGGATTGCTCTGTAACTTTCGTATTTCTTTCAACAGTATGCTCGGGAGACCTGTATTATCTGTATGTACATACCCACATAAAATGCTGTTTATCTTGGTGGTATTAAAAAAAGAAAAGAAAAAGACAGGAAAACATTCTAGCTCTTCAAGAAAAGAATTTTGGCTAAATAAGTTAAGGCATATTCAATTTACAGACTATACAAAGCCATTAATATCATGTTATTGAAGATTAATGACACAGGAAAATGACTGCCAGACACAAACATTTACTATATGATCTCAATATTAAAAAAAAAAAAAAGTTTTCAATTTTTACACACATACACACACACACCAAAATGTGATAGCATTCAGTGAGAAAAAGATCAAAAGTGCATTTATCTTTTCTTACTTTTTTTATTTCTTAAATTTTCTATAATCAAGTTATTTTTAGAAGCAAAAGACATCTATTTATTTAAATAAACACCCCAGGTACTTTCTCAAAGGAGATTATTCAAATCTGAAATGTGTACAATGATTAATTTCTTCTATCTTAGACATGAGGAGGATAGAGGTAACGGCTACTTAACGTATTTATGGTTTTTCTTCCCGAAGATAAGCCCTCATTTATCTCTTCTTCATGTTTCTGCATCTTTGAAGTTGCCGTCAATACAACCCCTGTCTTTTTTTTTTTCTTAAAAACCTGTTTGAACTTTAATTCCTTTAATTTTTTCCTTTTATTTTTAAACTGAGGTATAATTGACATAGAACACTGTGGTACCTTTATGTATACAATGCGATGATTTTTTTTTTAATTTATATATTTTTGGCTGTGTTGGGTCTTCGTTGTTGTGCGGGCTTTCTCTAGTTGCAGTGAGTGGGGGCTACTCTTCGTTGCGGTACACGGGCTTCTCATTGCGGTGGCTCCTCTTGTTGCGGAGCACGGGCTCTAGGCACACGGGTTTCAGTAGTTGCAGCATGCAGGCTCAATAGTTGTGGCACACGGGCTTAGTTGCTCCGCGGCATGTGGGATCTTCCCAGACCAGGGATCGAACCCGTGTCCCCTGCATTGGCGGGCGGATTCTTAACCACTGCGCCACTAGGGAAGTCCCAATGGGATGATTTGACGTTTGTATATATTGAGAAATGATCACCACAATACTTTTATTTAACATCCGTCACCGCATATAGTTACAAGCTTTTTTTTTTTGGTGATGAGAACTTTTAAGATCCACTCTCCTGGCAACTTTCAAATATACAATAAAACCATACCCATTTAAAAAATGCTTAGCTGGCCGTTTGGAATATTTTCATCAGCTAGAGCTAATTTTGGGGCAGTTTTGGAAGCTTTTAGCTATGTTTTAATTTCTATAACTTCTTTTGTAGATAAAGTATTTTTAATATAATCACCGGTAGCTGTTCATCTTAATACAGTAAATCCCCTACATATGAATGAGTTCCGTTCCGAGAGCACGTTCGTAAGTCTGACAAAGTTAGCCCAGGTACCCAACTAACACAATCAGCTATATAGTACTGTACTATAATAGGTTTGTAATACTTTTCACACAAATAATACACAGAAAACATTTTTAATCTTACAGTACAGTATAGTACTGTATACTTGAAAAGTATTCAGTAGTACCAGCCACATCACCGATGCTTTTACACTTGCTTCCAGACATCCTGGGCTTGAAATAAAGATACTGTACTACTGTACTCTATACAGTACTGTACAGTAAAGTACGCAAAAGCACAACCACTTGTAGAGGATGCACACATGTGACAATGTACACCAGACACGTGAACTAACTTACATGACTGGACATGCGAATGCACGTTCGCATTTTTGAAAGTTCGCAACTTGAAGGTTTGTTATGTAGGGGACTTACTGTACAGTTACTTGTAGCTGTTATTTAGTACCACTTTTATTTTCTGGGCAATGAGGCTATATTCTCTTGGATTTCTACCTTTGCTCTCCTTCAGGAAAAGATGAAGAAGAGGTGACAGGAAAGAGGAGAGGCTCACAAGGACCCCAATCCGTTCACTGATTTCACTCATTATACAGTAGAGAATACTCTGCTCATCCTTTGATTTAGCTACTCCTCTACTGATGGCTATTTATTTCATTTTCAGTATTTCTGCAATTATGAACACTACTGTGATGAACAACATACCTGTGCACATGTAAATCCTAAGAGATGCAACTGCTGGGTCCAAAGGTACACACACTTGAACTTTAATACGTGCTCCCAGTTTATCCTACAAATGACCGTATACCAGTTTGGACTCTCACCAGTCTTGCTCAGCATATGTTCATGATGTATCAATTTTTTGGATGATAAATGAAGTAGCTGCTGAGACTTCTGAAAAAACTCCATGTTCAACTCAAGCACTTACCCATAGGTTCCTTAATCACACCGTAATAATCTGGCGCATCATTAGGATCCACTGGTTCAAGGAAAGGCCAGGCCATCTTATGGGCCTATAATGAAAAAAAAAAAAAGGCATCATATTGTCAGGTTATTGTCAGGTGGAAATGACAATTTCACTTAAGTTTCCCATTTGAGTTCTTGCATCCATCGACCTTTAAACTGGAAGAGTCAGTTTTAAACTTGAGAGATGAAATTATTTATACTTAGATGATTTTTGCTGTAGTCACAAATTATCTCAGACAAGCATGCTCTGTAATAATGGTTCTCAAAGAGAGGTCTGGAACCTCGGCCTGGAGCGGGGATGGTGGAGCACTAGCTTAGGGGTCAAGGAATCTGTACTCTGGTCCCTTCACGATGACCTGCCAACTGAGCGATGTTGGCACTGCAATCACACCAATTAAACTGGAGTGGGATGGGTTCCAAGTGTGGAATGGTTACCTCTGCAGGCTAATGATGTGGCAGAGGTGTGACGGTGATGTTAAATAACATTTAACCACATATTGAGACTATTGTTCTCGTTTCAGTTCTTTCAACGCTTCTAATTATGATTACAACAGGAGGAAGTGTCAATCTAGCACTCCTATGCCTGGAATACATCTCTAATGCTTGCTAATCTTAGAAGCCACCCCCACCTTCCTTCTTGTTTTTAATAAGGGAGGGAAGGCTTTGGCTCAGAGCCTTAGATAAGCATTTGTATATCACTAGAATTTAATCAAATTGCTTTTCAATCAATGGTGGTAAGATAGTTTTCTTTAAAAATAAAATTTAGGTTAAAAATAATGAGTCATTTTAAACATGAGCATTAGCTAAACAACAACAGTTGGCACAGGAAGGACTGAAGTCTGTGGAGCACTTCAGCTGGGAGTCACTAAATAGTCAGGTGCTCTAAGATTGTAAAGGTCAAACCCCAGGCGTGTTTCCAAGGTCACGCTGATTGATTTCATCTTTAAATGCTGCACAGAGCGTGGTTTCTCACCTGTAAAGAACGCAGCACCCTCTTCAAACCCTCATAATCTTTCTCTGTTAGCGGCGTGAGCACTGTCATGGCATCCTCTGTTGACTGGCACTGTGGACAGACATACTCGTCAATGAGTTCTGCCTCACTTTGCAAGATGCCAACGCAGCGCCCATGGTACCAATTCTGACACCGATCACAGCCAATATAAAATCTGCAAGATCCGAAATGGAAATGTGAATTCAAAACAGATGGGATCACATTACTTATAATTTACTTTAAAAAGTAATAAAACATGCATTGAATATATTCTAACCCTGGGATATAAAATAGTTTTAGTATTATAATCGTTTTAATACTTTTGAAGATTGACATTCCAATGAGTTACTTTAGTATTTCTGATGTTAAGAACAAGCATTAAAGGTTTAAGAACACTGTCAAAATTGGAGAACCAATATGAAGAAAAATGTAAAACATTTAATTGACTTCAAAGCTCAAAACAAAATAAAGACAAAAATCTTTCAACTAATACCATATCAAATGGGAAGCTGATATTGGCCACCCAACTGGGAGTTCAAAATCCTAAAAGCTGTTTAACAGAGTCTCGGAGCTTGTACCCAAATTAGTGTTTTTCTAACCTGCAATAAAGCACCATTTCAAAACACTGATAAAGTCCAAACAAGTCAGGCCATTTTAATCTCATTAATTTCTATGTTACATATTGAAGAATCAAGTCTACCCTTAAACCACATTTTCCCCAATGCATCTCAAACATTCACTATGAAGCAACATAAATTTTGAAGGGGAGGTAAAGAGGGAAGAAGAGAAAAAAAAATTGGAAAAGAATTTGTAATGTAAGTGTATAATATATGCAGAAAAATACCTTGCTTTTTATTTTAAAACAAATAAGTAACCAGTCAGAGCAATTTGGCTTCCTAAATTATTAAATATGATGCTCTTATCAGAACTCACTGTGACTCATCATAAGGTGTTCTGCAGATACAGTACAATTCCTCACTGTTGCCCTCTTGTGCCCGTTTACAATCATTACAGATGTACACATCCATTTTCTTAGCCTCCTTTTCTGTGATGCCAACACATTCTCCATGATACCAGTTAGTACAAAGATCACAGCCAATATAGAACCTAAAAGCATTCACAATGAAAATGACAATGTAATTGTCATTTTGAGCTGCATGGTACGTAAGTCTGTCTTCCCTGTCCTGATTCACGTTCTTACAGGATAACTTTCTGCAATGAGTCAGCTAAACATCCTGAATCCAACCATTCTAACCCTGACAAACTACAGCATCTGATGCTATATCAAGTGTGGGGACATAGAGTCGCTCACATCAATTTCAACAAATACACTGTTTAGTGAAATGTGGGTCTTTAAAAACACACTGGAATTTGAAAAAATAAACAACACACTGATGGTAATGTCTCCCTCTTAATGAATGTGTGTAAAACTGTAACAGGCACAAAAACCAAAGCCAAAGAATCAAAGACTTACATCTGTCAAACCTATGCCACAGAAGCCATTTCAAAATCAGGGCTATTTCTTAGATAGGTTTGAAAATGTATCTCACGATTTAAATTTGAAAACAAAGCAAAGCGCAAACACCAAGTAGAAGTTACACTACAAGGAACATGCAGGAGGTCAGCCAGTTGTAGAAGAAAAATGGTCAAAACATGGTATGAAGAAGAAAACTAAAAAAGGTACATGTAGTAATTCAGTTTCTACCAAGTTTTCTAAGTAAATATTGGAATTTAATCTAATTTTAACAGACTATGACATGGGCCAGTTTTTCAGTTAGTAGAATGTGTGTGACAATGTGGAGTGGCCAGTTTAATTAGCTGGTGAAGAACTACTTCAATTCAAAAACAGGGACACACGGAGTGGAGACTGATGTAAGGATAGTTAATCTAAAACCGCAAGAGGGTCTACAAGATGGGGCTGTATGAATGTGTAACTGTGGGTTATCAGTTAATAATCCTCAAGTCTTTTGTAATGTAAGATCCCAAACGGTAAAGTGAAAAGCATCTCTATGACAAACACACAGTGTATCAAAGTGTTGACGAATGCTCCGGAGGAACGCCTTGTCAAAGTCATGGCAAGAATAAGCGTGAATTGCAGGGAACCAGACTGGCCTTGCTGATACCATTGGTTCTACCAAGGTGTTTCTTGGCAGATTCGCCTACAGGAATCGAAATAGTCCTCAAGCTTCCACCTAACCTGCTTTTGAACGTAAAGGAATAATGGTTGTGTGGTGTATCCTATTGCCACTAACTTTTTTCTTTTGAATTATGACTCCTGCATGATTTTCACTGCCGCACGTGGAGGCCTTCAGGGCGTTTTGGTATGTTGCCTTCACCAGGTGGTGGGCTGTGTGTTCTGGAAGTGAGTTCAGGACTTGAATTTCAGGTTTTAGTCACTCTCACTAGATTCCCAAAGGAGCCTACTTTGGAACAAGAGATCACTAAATACTCCTTAAAAACCACTAACTCTTCCCAACTAGAATAGGGAATGAATGAAGCCGGTATACTGAAATGTGAATAATGAAAAACTAAAAAATATGAAATATCCCCAAAATAATGAGGCAAACTCAATAGAATGAGCATACGTACACGTGTGCTGCATTTTATGCAATTTAGGTGTTAAAAAAAGTTGTGTGTGAAATGAATTTCTATGATCTGAATATTTTAAATAGGCCAAAATGTCTTGTTATTTAAGGAAATTCCATAAGCAGATCTTTCTGTAAAGAAAGAAATCTTTTGTATAGAAAGTAAATTTACAAAAATTGCATTGGACTTGTACTGGACTAAGGGGAAAATCAATCAATAGGGTTCTACTTTTAATACCATGTCTAATTTCTCATAAAGTAAGACAATGAAAAGTGCAGATGCCTACACTGATCTGTGTTTGATTCAACACACAGCTACATCTACCAACAAAAAGTTCTGATTTAGCACTTGCAAACAGACTGTAATTTAAATAGCACCACTAAAGCAGCTTCAGTGTTACAGCTTAAACATCACTAAACAATTTTATTTTATAAATTGATTAGGCATCCACTTACAGTAGACATTAAGCATTCCTAATTCTAAAATGATCATACTTTTTTATCACAATCAAATAAACTTTTGGGTACTGTAAAATTAACACTGTGGTTAATTTTGGCTTTAAAAACTTGGCCTGCATTTGAATGTTGAAAACGGAAGCTAAATACCTAGCTAAGTGATAATAATGATAGGAAAAAAAAAAGTGTAACCATGTTTATGGACTACTGTCTCTAAAATCTTGTATATATCACCAAATACAAGTTACAACTGTCAAAAGCAGCTTCCAGCTGCCATGCTTATCAAATTTTTGAGTGTAGTACTTGAGGAATGAGTGAAAGAATCACTTTTTGTATTTTTCTGACTTTTGTCCCCAATAAGAAAGTGGGAACTTTGACAAAAATAATATTAGGTTACAGTATTCTAATACAAAATCCATAGAATTACTTAAAATTACATGATAAAAATCCAAAACCACTCAAACTCAAAAGCCCCTTGGCACCATTCGTATGTAGGTCGTCTTTAGGATTGGATGTAATCGTGGGGTTGGGAAGATTCCAGAACAGATGATCTCAACTTTGGGCGGTGACAGTAATACACCTTTCTCCAGACAGCATTACTAATTGATCTGGAGTTGATCCAGAGAGAAGAGGAGACAGCAAAGGAGCAACAGAAAGCTTATCTGACAGAAAATATGATGAAGGACAAACACGAATCATGAACACGTGGAAAAAGAACCAAACTTTTATTCTAGTGTCAACGTTAAAAATATCAGCTGCAAAACCACAGATGAAATATTATTATCCTTATTTTTAACTGTTTTTATTTACATTGCTACTGATATACTCATTTTCTTCAAAACTGGAAACTGAGCTAAACTTTTAAGAAAATAAACTAGAGCTCAAAAAGATCTACTCACTTAGATTCATCGTAAGGCGTTTTACAAATACAGTAAAGCTTTGTGTCCTTCTTCGTTTCCTTTGAGGTAGTAGAGATCATTTTCTTCTTCTTCGACTTGGAGCTTGAGTCTCTTTCCTCTTCTCGCTTCCTCTTCTGGGAAGCCACAGGCAGCGTGGCCGTGGCCGTGGCCGTGGCTAGGGGGCCCGAGTGCTGTGGCGGGGGTGGAGGTGGCGGGGAAGGCGGAGGGGCTGGAGGTGCCGGTGCTGCGGCGGGGGAGGTGGCAGCGACAGCTGTGGCCTGCATCATGTCTTTTTCCTTCTTAATTTTCAGGTCCCTCTTGAGCTCTTCCTGTTGTCAATCAAAGAATATAAGACCATCAACTGACTTATGTAACGTTCTGGCCAGAGGACGTTACATCACCTCCCTTGTCTGAGTAGCTCCACAGTTCACTCTAAAGTGAGGGAGTCTTGTTAACTCCAAACAAGAGGGTTCTTACTACACCTTAAACCCAATTAAAACAACTAGAAATAGAAGATGAAGATTACACAACAACTAGAAAACTGCTAGCTCTCTTCAAAGGAGGTCTGACAGAAAGATGAGCAAGTGTGTAGAAAGAACGGCCCCTCCCGCATGCCAGGGTCCTGCCCTGGTCATTGCAGTCATCACTCAGGACATGATTTCAAGTGTCCTCGCTCGCTGGCTGCTTTCTTCCGGCAAATCTCCTTGTGTCTCCTTAGAGTGAGTCTCGACATGAACTGGACGTGATACTCCAGATGTGGCCTGACCAGCCCAGAGCAGAGTAAGACAGATGTGCCTTATTTACTGTGCTCCTGTGGCTAGAATTTAAGACTGCAAGGAGAGCTATTTTCTCAATACAAATTTTGCATAAATTAAAATACTTTTTCCCATGTGAGGCATTTTACAGACACACCTCTGCTACCTAGTGCTACAACTTATTCTGAGAAATGATGATGAAAGAACTTTTATTTCCCTTGGACTTCCCTGGTGGTGCAGTGGCTAAGAATCTGCCTGCCAATGCAGGGCACACGGGTTCGAGCCCTGACCCAGGAAGATCCCACATGCCGTGGAGCAACTAAGCCCGTGCGCCACAACTACTGAGCCTGCGCTCTAGAGCCCGCGAGCCACAACTACTGAAGCCCATGTGCCTAGAGCCCGAGCTCTGCAACAAGAGAAGCCACCGCAACGAGAAGCCTGCGCACTGCAACGAAGAGTAGCCCCTGCTCGCTGCAACTAGAGAAAGCCCACGTGCAGCAACAATGACCCAACACAGCCAAAAGTAAAAAAAAAAAAAAAAAAAAAAGAACTTTTATTTCCTTAGAGAAAAATCACTGTGATTGGCATTCATGAACAAGCTTGGTGTAATTAAACCAGAGCTATGACCAAGTCTTTAAACATCAAAAAAATTCTAACAAATAAACCAGAATGATCCTGGTTTAATGAACCTCTTTCCTCTATCTGGAGTCTAAATAGTCTTATAACTGAGAATATATGCTGTGTGACAATTCTACAGTCCTTCTCTATTTAAAAACAAAGTCTGAACTTTTTCCTAGGGAAGAAAGTAAATCTTGAGTTTCATATTCCTAATAGTATGATGTGTTTATAGCCTAAAGAGATGGATTTTAGGAAAATCAAGATCATCAAGACAGTGTAGTAGGTACATACTTTGACATACCTCTTCAAGAACATTCCCATGGTAGTAAGATATAAAAAAGAGAAAACTGAAAAGACAGCCATGCTTGAATAAGATATAAATGTCTCTATGGAACGGAAACACAAAACCATGACCAGGGCTAAAACTGCAGGCCTCCTGGGCTCCAGATTCAGAACTGGGAAGTGCAGGCTCCCTGCTGGATGTTAAAGGCTGGCTGTGCTACACTAGGCTTCTGGAGGAAGGAAACAAAAACAAAACTCCTCTCACTTAAAATTCCAAATGCAAAATCAAATGAAAAACAATAAAAACATGTAATGTAAAAAAAAAAAAAGAAAAAAAAAGAAAAAGCAACCAACAAAAATCAATAACCGAATCTGAATTCACTCCAAGTGAATTTTTATGTTTTATAGAACAATCTGACAAAAAACTTTATAATACGTATGAGACATTCAAAGAGTTAAATGAAGGCATAAGTTCTATTAAAAATGAGTAAGAAATACTGAAAAGACAAGCAGAGGGGGATGGAGGAGGGAGGAAAAGGTAGAAGACAACACATTTTTAGGACAGTGAAACTATTCTGTATGATACTGTAATATGATTCTGTATTCTGTTATGTAACATGATTATATGACATCACTCATTTGTCAAATGCACAGAACTATACAACACAAAGAGTGAAACTTAATGTAAACTATGGACTTCAGTTAATAATAATGTATCAATACTGGCTTATGAATTGTACAAATATGCCACCCTAATGCAAGATGTTAATTATAGGAGAAACTGGGGTTGGGGGTAGTATACAAGAACTCTCTGCTTTCTGCATAATTTTTATGTAAATTTAAAACTGCTCTTAAAAATGAAGTCTATTTTCTAAAAAGGCAAGTATAAATGATATAAGAACAGGTAGATATAAAGGACCAATCACATATGCTGAAAATAAAAAAATCTTTATAATTAAAAATAAATTTTAAAATATGCTAGTACATATACGTTTGAATGTTGTTCCTCAAACTAAATCATCTTAGCAATAAATTCTATAGTTAAAATAATGCTGAACGTTTTCTTTAAGTATAATTTTTCTTCCTCATTGGATAAGCGATACACTGTCAGAAGCAACACCATGACTGTATACTAGAATATTTGCAGTAGTTGTTAACATTTTTAAATGGCTGCATAGTATGTACAGTGCAGAAAAAGAAAAATGTTCAGTATATGTTATCTCCAGCGTGATTCTGATTTTGTTTAAAATGTGTTTATATGTGAATACGTTTATTAAAAGTAATATATGTAAGCTATATCCTAAAATTATTTTAAAATGGTCATCTTTGGAGGGGGGATGATCAAAGATTACCGAACCTTATTTTTGTTTACTTGGACAATGGTCGCGATCTCAGTATTTATCTAGCAGTGACTACCTTACTGAACTCTCTCTTAGATCTTAATAATTTTTCTTTGGGGTTTTGATATAATAATCATATATACACAATAACAAATTTTATCTCCTTTCTTTCTTTGGCTTAACCTTAGCTAGAATTTCTAGAGATGCTAAGCAATAATGTTGATTCTGGGCACTACCATCTGGTTTCTGACTTCAGTGGGAAGATGTCTAATGTCTCACAGTTATGTACAGTGTTTGTTAGTAGGATGATCAGTGTTGTCTTAACATTTCTCACCTTCTTAAAATGTACAAGGCACTTCTAGGGATGCTTTATATAGCCCACTTCTCTTTTAAAAAACTGTTTAAATATGTATGAATAGATGTCTTCTTTCAATTTTCAACAAATTCCCTAAGTAAGCAGAGGATTAGCCATGCCTGCAGATCATTTACAAGTCAAGAAAGAAATCTGGTCTTATTTAATAAGCACACTTTACTTTCTTTCAACATTATTTTGCAGTTTCTCTATCTACCTTTCTCCAGAAACGTAGCTCCTGATAACTTTTGGCAAAGACTGCGTCGCAGACAATAAGGGCTATTGCCAAGAGGATCCTCAAATGTTTTAATCAAAAGACTAACCTCCCCGAGTGGCTAGTTTAGAGATTACAATATACATGTAGATACAAAAATCTCTGTCATGCTTTAAAAAGACATATGTCCCACTGGTTCTCATTCTAGGGACAAAAATGTAAAATCTAGAAAACAAGCTCAAATTTTAAGCTTAATGGAAATTTCAAGGGGAAAAGAAGAATAAAATTTGATGCTAAACACTGAACACAGGAGGATAGAAAATACCTTCTTACCTGCACTTCAATTTGTAGGTCTTTGTCTAGCAGTGCTCTCTTCTTCAGTATTTCGGCTTTGAGTTGCTCTTTGTGCTTGAAGAGCAGTGCAGAGAGCTTGCTGGCATTCTGTTTGCTACGTTTCTGTTCCACACTCTCCTCTCGCTTCCGTTTTTTTGCTGCCTGTTTTTCTTCTTTATCTATCTTATCCAAAATATACTTCATCACCTGGTTACAGACAATCATTCTAGAGAGAAATACACAATCTATGTAATACTGGGCATTTCCTTCTGAAAGACTTAAGACAAAATTTTTCTACGTCTTTACAGTTGGTACAAACTTTCTGTGACTGGGAAGCTTCAGAGCGATTGGAACCAGTTATGAGCATCTGTTAGTACTGAGTGTTCTCATTTAATAAACTTCAATCAAGGTAAAAACAATATAAACTCAGAACTCCTGTGTGTGTGTGTGTGTGTGTGTTAAAGAGAAGAGACTGATATACAGTGAGACCCAGTGTAATGGGTTATAAACATTTCTCCCTACCTTTGATTCTCTTCTCTTTCAGCTGGAGTCATGGTCTTTTTCTGTTTTAAATGTTCTATTACAGCATTATGCTTCATCACCACCTTCAGGACAGAACAAAATCCAAAAATGCATATTTTATAATGACTACAAGTTGCTACACAGGTAACAACAGTAGAAATCTGAGCACGTGTATGTGTTTCCCAAAGAAACTAAGAATTTTATATCGTAATACAAATAAAATGAGAGCTACTGTCTGGCCCGGGTGCTTATCACATACCCGGCACTGTGCCCAGGGAAGCAGCTGACATTACTTGTTTATTCACCGTAACGACGCTGAAAGGTAGGGAAACTTTTATAAATGAGATAGTGAGACATAAAGAACTTACTAACTTGTTTGAGATTAAAGAATTAATACAGCTCTAATTTTAACCCAGCTATCATCCTCCAATAACCATGTTTTTAACATTATGCTCTCCGTCCCAGGCATTCATTTTAAAGATCACCCCACCCCCGCCCCACTGCCACCTTGTGCAGAGATTAGGGTAAAGACAGACATTGTAATAATTCTCAGTTCATGGACCATACAGTGCTAAAAGCTGGATAATAATGCATTTTAACACATTATATATGACGTTAATTTTTTAAGAATATTACTATACATCTTCAAATTCCCTCTGCTGGGGCTTCCCTGGTGGCGCAGTGGTTGAGAGTCCGCCTGCCGATGCAGGGGACGCGGGTTCGTGCCCCGGTGCGGGAAGATCCCACATGCCGCGGAGCGGCTGGGCCCGTGAGCCATGGCCGCTGAGCCTGCGCGTCCGGAGCCTGTGCTCCGCAACGGGAGAGGCCACAACAGTGAGAGACCCGCGTACCGCAAAAAAAAAAAAAAAAAAAAAAAAAATTCCTCTGCTGCTTAAAACACTTCTAACAGGAACACCTTGGGACTTCCGGGAAGATGGCGGAAGAGTAAGACTCGGAGATCGCCTTCCTCCCCACAGATACACCAGAAATACATCTACGCGTGGAGCGGCTCCTGCGGAGCACCTACTGAACGCTGGCAGAAGACCTCGGACCTCCCAGGGGGCAAGGAACCCCCCATGTACCTGGTTAGGGCAAAAGAAAAAAATAAACAGAGACAAAAGGATAGGGACGGGTCCTGCACCAGCGGGAGGGAGCTGTGAAGGAGGAGAGGTGTCCACACGCTGGGAGGCCCCTTCGCGGGCGGAGACTGCGGGTGGCGGAGTGGGGGAGCTTGGGAGGCGGAGACTACGGGTGGCGGAGACTACGGGTGGCGGAGTGGGGGAGCTTCAGCGCCGCGGAGGAGAGCACGGCAACGGGGGTGCGGAGGGCAAGGCGGAGAGATTCCAGTGCAGAGGATCGGGGCCGACCGGCACTCGCCAGCCGAGGGGCTTGTCTGCTCGCCCGATGGGGCGGGCGGGGCTGGGAGCTGAGGCTCCGGCTTCTGTCGGAGCGCCGGGAGAGGACTGGGGTTGGCGGCGTGAACACAGCCTGCGGGGCGTTGGTGCACCGCGGCTAGCCGGGAGGGAGTCCGGGGAAAGGTCTGGACCTGCCGAAGAGGCAGGAGACTACTTCTTCCCTCTTTGTTTCCTGGTGCGCGAGGAGAGGGGATTAAGAACGCTGCTTGGGAGAGCTCCGGGGACGGGCGCGGGACGGGCGCGAGCCGCGGCTGAAAGTGCGGAGCCCAGAGACGGACATGAGACGCTAAGGCCGCTGCTGCCGCCACCAGGAAGCCTGTGTGCGAACACAGGTCACTGTCCACACCCCCTTCCGGGGAGCCCTGCCACTGCCGGGGTCCCGGGATCCAGGGACAGCTCCCCCAGGAGAGTGCACGGCGCGCCTCAGGCTAGCAACGACGCGCCGGCAGAGCGCGGGCCCGCCCCCCTGCACTCCGTGACCCTCCCCCCCCCCCCCACCCCCCCGCCCCGCGCCCTGAGTGAGCCAGAGCCTCCGAATCAGCGGCTCCTTTAACCCCATCCTGTCTGAGCAAAGAACAGATGCCCTCCGGCAACCTACACGCACAGGCGGGGCCAAATCCAAAGCTGAGCCCCTGGGAGCTGTGAGAACAAAGAAGAGAAAGGGAAATCTCTCCCAGCAGCCTCAGAAGCAGCAGATGAAAGCTCCACAATCAACTTGATGTACCCTGCATCTGTGGAATACATGAATAGACAACGAATCATCCCAAATTAAGGAGCGGTGTGGATGAAAGGCTCTTGGTGCTGCAGCCAGGAGTTAGTGCTGTGCCTCTGAGGTGGGACAGCCAACTTCAGGACACTGGTCCACAAGAGGCCTCCCAGCTGCACATAATATCAAACGGCGAAAATCTCCCAGAGATCTCCATCTCAACGCCAGCACCCAGCTTCACTCAACGACCAGCAAGCTACAGTGCTGGACATCCTATGCCAAACAACTAGCAAGACAGGAACACAACCCCACCCATTAGCAGAGAGGCTGCCCAAAATCATAATAAGTCTACAGACACTCCAAAACACACCACCAGATGTGGACCTGCCCACCAGAAAGACAAGATCCAGCCTCATCCACCAGAACACAGGCACTAGTACCCTCCACCAGGAAGCCTACACAACCCACTGAACCAACCTTAGCCACTGGGGACAGACACAAAAAACAACAGGAACTACGAACCTTCAGCCTGCAAAAAGGAGACCCCAAACACAGTAAGATAAGCAAAATGAAAAGACAGAAAAACACACAGCAGATGAAGGAGCAAGATAAAAACCCACCAGACCTAACAAATGAAGAGGAAATAGGCAGTCTACCTGAAAAAGAATTCAGAATAATGATAGTAAAGATGATCCAAAATCTTGGAAATAGAATAGACAAAATGAAAGAATCGGTTAACAAGGACCTAGAAGAACTAAAGATGAAACAAACAATGATGAACAACACAATAAATGAAATGAAAAATACTCTAGATGGGATCAGTAGCAGAATAACTGAGGCAGAAGAACGGATAAGTGACCTGGAAGATAAAATAGTGGAAATAACTACTGCAGAGCAGAATAAAGAAAAAAGAATGAAAAGAACTGAGGACAGTCTCAGAGACCTCTGGGACAATATTAAACGCACCAACATTCGAATTATAGGGGTTCCAGAAGAAGAAGAGAAAAAGAAAGGGACTGAGAAAATATTTGAAGAGATTATAGTTGAAAACTTCCCTAATATGGGAAAGGAAATAGTTAATCAAGTCCAGGAAGCACAGAGAGTCCCATACAGGATAAATCCAAGGAGAAATACGCCAAGACACATATTAATCAAACTGTCAAAAATTAAATACAAAGAAAACATATTAAAAGCAGCAAGGGAAAAACAACAAATAACACACAAGGGAATCCCCATAAGGTTAACAGCTGATCTTTCAGCAGAAACTCTGCAAGCCAGAAGGGACTGGCAGGACATATTTAAAGTGATGAAGGAGAAAAACCTGCAACCAAGATTACTCTACCCAGCAAGGATCTCATTCAGATTTGATGGAGAAATTAAAACCTTTACAGACAAGCAAAAGCTGAGAGAGTTCAGCACCACCAAACCAGCTTTACAACAACTGCTAAAGGAACTTCTCTAGGCAAGAAACACAAAAGAAGGAAAAGACCTACAATAACGAACCCAAAACAATTAAGAAAATGGGAATGGGAACACACATATCGATAATTACCTTAAATATAAATGGACTAAATGCTCCCACCAAAAGACACAGATTGGCTGAATGGATACAAAAACAAGACGCATATATTTGCTGTCTACAAGAGACCCACTTCAGACCTAGAGACACATACAGACTGAAAGTAAGGGGATGGAAAAAGGTATTTCATACAAATGGAAACCAAAAGAAAGGTGGAGTAGCAATTCTCATATCAGACAAAATAGACTTTAAAACAAAGACTATTAGAAGAGACAAAGAAGGACACTACATAATGATCAAGGGATTGATCCAAGAAGAAGATATAACAATTGTAAATATTTATGCACCCAACATAGGAGCACCTCAATACATAAGGCAAATACTGACAGCCATAAAAGGGGAAATCGACAGTAACACATTCATAGTAGGGGACTTTAACACCCCACTTTCACCAATGGACATATCATCCAAAATGAAAATAAATAAGGAAACACAAGCTTTAAATGATACATTAAACAAGATGGACTTAATTGATATTTATAGGACACTCCATCCAAAAACAACAGAATACACATTTTTCTCAAGTGCTCATGGAACATTCTCCAGGATAGATCATATCTTGGGTCACAAATCAAGCCTTGGTAAATTTAAGAAAATTGAAATTGTATCAAGTATCTTTTCCGACCACAACGCTATGAGACTCGATATCAATTACAGGAAAAGATCTGTAAAAAATACAAACACATGGAGGCTAAACAATACACTACTTAATAATGAAGTGATCACTGAAGAAATCAAAGAGGAAATCAAAAAATACCTAGAAACAAATGACAATGGAGACACAACGACCCAAAACCTATGGGATGCAGCAAAAGCAGTT